ATTGATATATATGCACATAGGCTAACTATTAGCTCTTCAGTAGGATAGATATAATGAAACTAAGCATCACTTAACTCTCTGACTTACATCGATTTGCAGATACACCAGACCTGCGTTAATTGGAAAAACCTAAAGTCTAACTTGTAGAATACGAATCTTAAGAACAAGTGTTATCTAAACCTACTAATCCCGTTATATTTGGCAAGGTTAGGACCGAAACTTTAGAAGTGAAGCCCACAAAAATAGAGTTCCATTTAAAAACACTTATAATCTGTCTTTGGAAACTTTTATTTGAAACTTCATCAGTTGAGGTGGTTCGGATATGTGATGCGAATGTCTAACCACTGACTGCCTCAACGAGCTATGTTTTGAGGTATAGGAATAAGTTGGATGAAAGCTAGGGGCGTCCAGACCAAAACATGGCACAAATACACGAAGTCACTGACGAGTGGAATGAGTCGTGTTGCTAGATGCAAACTACCTGGTTGGGGTCCGCGAGACGTAAGTCACCAATGATTAGAGACCTTGAACGACATGGCTTGAAATCGTTTGCAATGGCGCACGTAAACCACTCTTTATGTTCTCTCAAATTCTAATCCTCTGGATTCTTCATCACCTTTGTATTTTTAAGTTAATTTCACTAGATTCTACTTGAATTGAAAATTGCGTCTCTATACTAATATGGTATGGCAACATGAACTGATGTACGTAAGTATGAAGTTCTACGTTGTAACTGACTAACTTTGGTGATTTTTATCAGGTTTTGATCAAAAAACGTTAATTAGACGTGAATTGTACTATAGGACTTGAACTACTAAAACAACCTACATATAATGGATACGAAAAGCCAGTATATTTTTTATAAGAATGAAGTTATTTAAACATATTTACGTCATGATGTTTGTTATAGATAAGATATTTCAGAAAGGAGTTATTACTGAGTGACTATCAATTCAGGATAGCAATTACGGTTCACCTGACTCGCCGATCTACGACTAGTAAGCGTTAATGTATCTTCTTAATATATGATTTAGCGGTCGCTGAAGAAAAAATTAAGAACCTCAACAAGAGAATCATTACAAAAACAATTCTCTTGATTCTGTCACTGATTCGCGCTGACAAAAAACATTGAAAGTTTATTGAGAATACTGCACAACAATCAGAAGCCCTTTGTATACATGAAGCCTAAACGTACAGTTAAAACAAATGTATTCACATTCCTATGTTAAGAATTTTGAAATCTAGCTAGTTTTATTCAGTCAGTCAATCAATAGTAACGTAGAACTTCGTACGTACGTACATCAGATCATGTTGCCATACGACATTAGCACACAGATGCAATTGTCAATTCAAATCCCATAGTAGTAGAGGTAGAAAAGATATTAGCAGAAATCGCAGAGATTAGGGTTAGAAAATATTATTGAAGTAGAATCTAGTGAAAAAAACTAACAAAGGAAAAGTGATGAGGAATTAAAAAGATTAGGATTTGAGATAACACAAAGGATGAATTCACCTGCGCCATTGCAAACGATTTCAAGCCATGTCGTTCAAGGTCTCTAATCATTGGTGACTTACGTCTCGCGGACCCCAACCAGGTAGTTTGCATCTAGCAACACGACTCATTCCACTCGTCAGTGACTTCGTGTATTTGTGCCATGTTTTGGTCTGGACGCCCCTAGCTTTCATCCAACTTATTCCTATACCTCAAAACATAGCTCGTTGAGGCAGTCAGTGGTTAGACATTCGCATCACATATCCGAACAAATTCGACTGGTGAAGTTTCGTTACTTCATCTTTTGATCTGCTATCCTTACATAGCACTCGTTTTCTAACGACAGCATTGCTTACTCGGTTGTCCCATGATACACGAGCAATGCTTCAGAGATACCTATGATCGAAAACCACCAACTTACGAATATCTGCTAATCTGACTGGTTATGTTTCACAACCATAAAGTAGGACGGAGCAAAGTACTGCACAGTACACTCGTCCTTCAGTCAGCAAACGGATATCTCGCCTGCGTTATAAGTGACGCAGGTTGGCAAAAGCCAATCGAACCTTACTTATCGCTCCCTTGAGTGGATTAAAGCACATTTACTGGAAGACATGACGTTTTGGTCAATTTAGGCTGATTCGGAATTACCTGAGTTCAATAAGTAGATTAGTATAAACTATGTGAAGAACTGCAGGTATTAATACCGGATAATATATTGATTTATTTTGAATAACCTCAAGGTAATCTTGAGGTTTTAGCACATGATCATTATTATGACCAACTACAGCATGATTTTCATCGCAGGAAAGCTAAATCACGAATGACGAAAGTCATTTATTTCATAAACATTCGTCCATTCCAACTTTTTCACGTTTATTTCATCTATATATCATAAAGACATATGACAGCCTGTATAAATTAACAATTCAGGGACATTTGCAACATGAAGTCTAGGGTTTATGAATGCGATAAATTTGGAACACAACCAAACAGAAGGTAATTTGAAACAAAGTCTTTAACGCAACATTACCTTGACAAAAATAACATCAAACTGCTTTTTGATGACTGATTCAATAAGCTGAACGCACGAATTGCACGTCATACCATTAATTGATATGGTAGAAAATTTGACTACCTTCATCTTCTAATAACACTAAAACTAAAAGTTGACAGACGACCTATCCTTGAAATTCCGCTCATACCTAAGGTCATTCAATATCCAATATCCAATACCTTTTTCACGAGCTAGTGTAAACCATTAGATTTGTTTGCGCTCGAGTCTTGTTCTTTCGGCACGTTTCCAGGTTTTCGGTAGTGTACAATGGATAGAGGTCTAACCACTTGACTGTCTAATTCCAGTCACTTGACAGTTGGTTGTGAGTTTGTGTGTCTCAGGATTTGAAAGAAAACGTTTGTTTCAGGGCAGTAGAGTTTCTGGATACCAGCAACCATCACATTACCAGACCGGAGTTCAGTTAGTTGCAATGTGGAGAGTAATAAGGATACTAAGGATAAAGTTCTAATGCTAATATGAATAAAATTTCAGGACTGAGTAATATATAGATGAATTTAGTTTGTTGGTTTAGTTTCAAACCGTTTTCCACTGCCTATCTCTCAATAGATGTAAGGTCCTTTTGAAGCTCAGTCGAATCCTCTTCCCCCTTTATGGACCTCCAGATCTTCGCATTGTCCGCGGAGATCACTGCCGGTGAGCTAACTAAGCGTAACAATTCGTTAATAAATATCAGGAAGAGAATTGGGCCTAAGAAGGTCCCCTTTGAAATTCCCGATGTGGATACTCCTCAGCTCTCGTGCACTTGGCTTGAAACTTTCTGTTCTCAAGGTAGTTTCCGAGCCAAGATACCAGTGGGTCAGTGAGGCCCATTTCCGCAACCTTTGCGATTAGGTGTGCGTGGGATACTGTGTCAAAGGCTTTTGCAAAGTCGAGAAATATTACGTGCACCTGTACTTTACGGTCTATGCTGGATGTCTAACTATCTCATGCTATGAGGAGGTTAGATGTTCACCACCTGCCTTCAGTGTGGATAACACTAAACGGTCAGTGCTAATGTTATAAATAGGGCAACTATTCAAGAAACTAAATCAAGTATTGATAAAACTTTTGTTATTGTATTTTATTTTTCTTACTACTATCAGTACACCTATCTTCCTACTATGAACTTGTACTTTTGCCTATTAAATGTGTAGTGACTTAATCTGTTTCATTTCATTGTGATTACTGACTCTAATTGCCTTGATCGGTTTAACATCTTCATATGAATATTATTGTATATTAGAGTAAAGCCTGATGACGATCTAATCGAAAACAATATTGTTCGGTTATATGTGTTGTTCTAATTTTCAGAATGGGAATCTTTAATATTCAGTTATATAAGCTGATTAGTTTGTGGATAGTATGAATGGACGGAAGTACAAAGATAAACCAGGAAAGAGTAGTGACAATAAGTGAGATATAGTAAGTGCCAAGCCATTATCAAGTCAAACTTCATCCTCTTGTGACTCAGCGAGAGTGTTTCTAAGTGTTAGAATCTGCCTCCGTCAAACTGATGCTTTCACTCTGATACTCACCTTGTTTAGGTCTCTAAGTCTGTCTCTGAGATTTGCATTATATATTAAGAGATCGAGTGCCACAGCATTCCGAACCTCAAAGCTGGGCCTAGGAATAGTGTTCGTGACATGACGTCTGACTTTACTGAGCTTTAACCCATTTGTTTATTGCATATCACTCACTTTTTGAGGTCCTTCTGAAGCTCAAACGAATAACCTTCGTTGCATTTGGACCTTCAGATCTTGACTTTCTCTGCACAGATTGCTTCTACTGAGCTTCTTTTCTCTAACTGATTTTTGTCAAAAAAGAAGAGTAGACTCAGGGTGGTCATCTGTAAGACTCACGATGCCGAGACACATCGGCGAGCGTCTACTTTATGTATCATACTATCTATTCTCTAGGTCGTTTCGTATTCAAGATCGAATCAGTGAAGCCAATCTACACCACTTTCGCTATTAAGAGTACGCAGGGTTCAGTATTGTAGACTCTCATGAAGTCAATGATATTGGATCGATTAATAGTTTTGGTCATAACAAGTTACCCAGCTGTCTTATGTTATGAGATGGGAGGTGCACGAACTTCTCTTCCTATCACACGCTCGGCTTCGTGAAGTATTCCTTTTGCATACATGTACTCGCTGGCCTGCTCACTCGTCAGTCCTTTAATCACATTTGATGGTATTTGTAGCAACGAGACTGGTCTGTAACAGGCTGGATATTTCTTATCTCCTCCTCTGAGGACTGGGGAGAGAGTAGCTAATTTTCAGTCAGTAGGAAGTTGGTGTGACTACAGTAAATGCCTGGACATGTCAGATACTAGTGAACTGAATACTTCTGCACAGTGCACAGTTTTTAATTGAAATAGACAGGTTACTCTACTCACTGGGTCGATCCACACTGTTCAACCGTAAAGAGGTTTATTAGAACGCAATCTACTTTCGTGGGCGCAACCTAATCAACACTCACAACTGTGTAAGTTTCACATTGCCTGTTATCAGTTGTCGATTACACTCTATTGACGTACCTTGATTCCTTAGTGTTATCTATTGCTCCATTTTTAACCTTGATACTCTTTAAATGTCTCGCTTAGCTAGTACATCTTTCCCACTACATTCTAAATGCTTATATCTTGTTTGAAAATCCGTACTTTTCTCCATAACTGTTAACTGTATTGGATTGATGCCTAACCAATAGTTCATAAGTTGTAACAACCAGACAAATTTGTGAAAAGAACTTGCGGAAATAGTGTTTCTCAGCAGTAATAATAATAATAATAATTTATTCTCAAATAACAAACATGTTACAAGAGACATGCCAATTTACAGGCAAGATCAAAATGTTAAGATTAGCAACATATTTCTTTTAAAACGGTATACAGTTACTGAAACATTTCACAAGATTCATTGTTTTCTTAAAGATGGAATGTACAATGCGAATAATTGGCGCAAGTTACGAAGGTTGCGTTACGACAATCATCTTATGGACTGAGAAACGATTCATGGTAGAGATAGGTTTTCATATAACAAGAATTGATGCGGTAAATGTACAAAGGTCTGGTTGATATTCATCAGCTAATGATTTCACATGTTCTTGGGTAGGGTAACCAAGTCTACTGCAAATATCCAGACTAATATATGTGGATTGGAATAAGGTTCTGAAAAAAGAGGAATAAAGAAAACGGGACGAGGAGCGGAACAGAAAATATTCTTGTTCAAAGCCGAACAACGGCTTTGCACATACGTTTATGGATAAAACAAAGGTATGTTTACTCAGACTTTTTTAATATCATATCAAAAACTAAACACCTGCACTTATGTAGGTTAATGAAGACAATTCAGTAGTGAGATAACTAATGGGAAGTTAGTCGAATGAATAGAGGAAATTCAGAAGAACCAAGTTGTTAGTAATAATGTTGATTTACAAAATATAATAAAGAGGCTCAGTGATATAATTTTTTGTTTTATTTATTCTTTTTATTTTTAACTCTGAGGCTCAAGAAGTTATGAATGAGCTCTTTTTTAGTATAGTTGTCCAGACCAGCTTGTAATAGGATTTCTCGGTAGGAAGTAAAAACCAGTGCAAGGTTACAGACATGGGTTGTAGACGAGGTTAACAAGGAAAAGTAACATCAATATCACTGATTTGTTACATCCTGCTATATCGTAAGGAGCCGTAAGCAAACAAAATGTTCTGCCACACAGACATGGGTAGATTGAGGTTATCGCCCCACCGTCATGAATGCTGGTCAGATACACCACCCTCCCTCCTTTTGTGATGTTAGGCTCTCTTACGTTTAATGGTTGATTGTAAATAATGGTCTCTAGTCTACTCTCAATTTTTTTTGTACACCTTATCGGAATTAACATTCTCTACTAGCTCCAACATTACAAGCAATCCAGACAACTTTGCCAGACAATATATCCACGTAGCATATCACACTGATTTAAGTAAACGAATGGTATGATTTGTAAGATGAGTCAGTTAATAGGTAGTTTGGAAATAGGAAGGACAGGGAGCTGGAACGAGGAGAAAGTGGACAAAAAGAGTTGAAATAATGTTAAAAATTAATGAGTAAAGCGATAAGTTGGTAAGCAGGCAAGGTGTTTGGATGTTAATGAATTGGGGAAATAAAAATTAGTTAAACTGTTAATACTTAAATAAGAAGATACTCACAATGATACACGGTGTTTGAGTTCCTTGTAATTGACAGTAGTTGATCAGCATCTACAGGCTTTTCAATTTGTCTGTCTACTAGAAATAAAAACTAAAACTGCTTTGAAGATATGAAAATAATAATCGGAATTTAAATTCAGAGAAAAGTCACGGGTAACACTTCAAAGGCGTAACCTATTACTGTTAGTAGGAGCAGGGGGATTCGTCTATCATTTCATGATACATGTATGGGTGGTAATGAGAACACAATGTGTTCATAGTCTATAATTCGTTTCTGAGGTTTATCTAAATATTTGGTGGACCATAAAAGAGTGCCTGGGGACTTTGTGTGAGTTCCGGGAATAGTCGATAAATCTCTTTAGAGTCTAGCAACAGCATGACTAGTTTCTTGAACTTAGTGATTGTGTCACAGATACGGATAGTAATTGGTAACCTGTTCCACAGTAGACTGTATCGTATTACAAAGAAATTACAACGCAATGATTTCTTGTGTTTTGCCGTTAATAGTGTATATGCGTTGTTTCTAAGTCTGTAAGCAGTGTCGTGGTTCATAGTTGGGCGGTATTTTACAAACGAAAGACTATTTATTAGTTTATAGAGGAGCATTAGGTTGTTTTTGAGACGACGGCGCCATAGAGGTTCTAGGGAAAGATGCGTGCATCTTTCTGTGTAGTCGAGGTTATGGCTCAATCCGAGCAGTCGCCGGGTGAAGCTTCTTTGTACATTTTCTACTCGCATTTTGTCCATGATATTCATGTTTGAAAATATGAGTGAACAATATTCAAGTGAGGGCCTTATACAGATTTTGAAGAGAGTAAGCTTAGCCTCACTTGTGAAGAAGTTCTTGT